GTGGCGTCTTCGCCTGCGTGTCGAGCCAGATCTTCCTCAGTCGAAAATAAATATATTTATCAACCTCGTGCAAGCTTATCAAGAAAGAATACATATTGATTAGTCACACCGAGGTTTAGGGAAGGTCCGTTTCGAAATATTACTACGCTTTGTGCTAGCTGATAATACACCGACCTCTGCACGATGTGCGCAATGATGTATGTCCGGAAGAAATACAAGTTGTTACCACCGGACATTGTCATTATATATCCACCATCAGCATCGTGTATAAAAGGGCATCACTGAGTGAGGATGCTTCATTCGAGAAGATGGAAGATCTGGCTCGACACGAAGGCGAAGACGCAACGTCGAGGCGAACAACAAGCATGGACCATCGACTCGGATCACCGGCTCTGAGGAAGACGAAGACGTCGAAACGTTAGCCGAAAATAAATATATTTATCACCCTCGTGCAAACTTATCAAGAAAGAATACAACGACCAATGTTTCCGCAGATGTTATCAACGTCAGTAAGCATTCATTCCACTTGGCCAATGCTTGATGCTATAAGAACGACGTCGTCAGAAAACCGAAAACAGTGGAATTGCAGGCCATCAAGTTTCACTTCCATCTGATACCATGGCAATGTTCGCGTGACATTTTCGAGGGTGGCAGCAAACAATTTTGGCGAGGTGGTATCGCCTTGCCTTACTCCCCCTTTCGACGTCGATGTAATTATCGATGTAGAACGGTCATATTTTGGTATTAATTTACCTCACAAAGAATCTTTATATCCCGAATAGAGACACTCCGGCGGTATTGGCCTCCATGTCCCAGGCGAGTAAAAAGTTTTTCTTAAACCGATGAAACTGGAAGAGAGTGGCCTTTTGTACTCTCGCGATGCTTCAACGAGTCTTGTTATCGAGTGGATGTGGTCCACGGTTCCGAATAATTTTCGAAACCCTACTTCCTCACATGGCTGTCCTTCGTCTAGTGTTCTGCCAATCCTGTTTAGGACGACCCGAGTGAAAGTTTGTAGAGGACAGAGAGCAAGCAGATTGGGCGATAGTTGCAGATAAGATGTAGATTACTCTTGAATATCAGGAGAGTCTTGCTGGTCCACTGAGTATGAACCTTGCATTCAGGCAGTTAACGTGTGAACACCATAGCCAGTATGTTTATGAGAACTGGCTGATAGTATTCTGCATGTATTCAGATCTTATTGTGCCCAGACCTGGTGCTGTTCGATTTCTTACCGATGAAATAGCTCGTCGTATAATGGAAGGGGGAAACGGTGTGGACGACATATCCATCTCCTTTTAATTCATATGAGGGAAGGAGGATATGGCTATCGAAGAGATGTCAGTCGTAATCGTGAATGATTTTTTTCATTGCCATCCTGAAAGCTGTTGCTGTTCTGTTTGGGTCGAAGTGCAATCATCTTGGTTTTGTGACTGACGAAGCATTGTGGGCTTTGCGAATGCTTTTCGCGGACTCTCCGTCTTCGAATATAACTGCGGTTCTTCTCTCTTTAAGATATTCTTTTATCACCTGTCTCAACTGTTTTTCAAGTTGGGACATGAGTTGACGGTTGTAGCTTATGCAATTCGCTCGAATGTTTCTAAAAACATATTTTTTGGCAGCTTTAGAAGCTTCAGCTTTAACAGAGCTGATGTGAAAGTACTGAGTGGGCCGCTATTCTAGTCGATGCTATCAAGAATAGGATCTTTCCAACAAAGGACTACTGAACTGAATAATTATCAGTTTATGGTGGTTTTGAGACTTCGTTCTCCTTGTTCTTCTTCAGACCTTCTTCTAGGTCCGATCTTTGCGTTAAAATCTCCAACTATGACTTTGAGGAATGCATGACTCTCTCTGTAAAACCTGTCCACGTCCACATCCAACTTCGTCTTCCTCATAGGTTGATGCCGAAGACTGTCAAAGCCAGTGTTGATCCACATCTCTTCAATCATAAACGTCCGATTAAGGTTCTTAGTTGTTCGAATGAATAGATGTTCATGGTCAAATTCGTGTTGATGGAAATGCCGAGTCGCCGACTCCTCTATTGTCGCAAGTTCCAGTCAGGGGTAGCTTTCCAGTTTCTTCCAGAACGGACCACAAGCTTATTTGCTGGAAAGGGGTTCTAACCGCCTCCAATATAGTTCTCTGCGACTTTATTGCAGACTCTTGGCCGAACCGATTCGTAGAATACAATCCGTCTACGCGAGAACATAACCACCCACTCACGCATGAAGACGTCCTCGTAAACATGGAAAGTATGTGCCAATTGGTGAAGCAGAAACAAGGGGTCCATGCTCTGCATCCATATGCTCTCAAGGAAGCAAAGGCCGCTTTTCTGCTGCGATTGACCTCCTATACAGTATAACTAACTCCCGTTTTCTCGACTCCAACATTTCTCTTTCTCCGACGACCGTTCAGGAAAAAATCGTTGTGTGAATGTGATCAAATTTAATTGCCTAGTTCTCTGATTGCAAGGACCATCTCGTTCAGTTACCCTAGCGTTCAAATATGGGGAACAACATGAAAGTAGAAAATGCGGAAGAAAGTATAGCCAAATTTGCAGCCTTCGGGATTTTTGGGGAGGCGGCAAAGCACTCAACACTCAACGAAGCCTAAACTGCGCTCTTACCTCTACGCGTCTACGGCTGTCCTGGCGCTCTGTGTTGCAACCGAAACTTGGATTAATAGTCCAAGGAAGTGTGAAACTCTAGCACTTCCCTTAATAATGTTGTCCGAATTTTATTTGCACACACAACTTTTAGCCTCGAGGCATCGCTCACATCTTCGAGATCCAAAAGAATATCCATCGATTAAGGAAGTAAATGTGCCAGTCTTGTAATCGGAGGAGCAGACAACACCGAATGAAAAGGACTGTGTAGTAGACTTCAAAATGATGCAAGCTTTTCTCGGACGACCAGCTACATGATGACCTGAGGTGTTCATAGACTATACTCGCAAATGGAAATGATTGATGAATCACGGAATGTGCCTCGAGGATTTCGCAGTGTTCGAGATACACCTCACCATGAACGACGAGATAAACAAATCTGGAACATGCTGGAATCCGCACTGTTGGTGGAAACAGGCTGTTCAAGTATCCAGTTATCCATGAAGATAACCTGCACTGTGAAATCGTGGA